GAGCTTTTAAGTTCTCCTTACAGAGGATTTCCTCGAATTGAAGAGATGGAGACGCGGACCATTCGCCACTGGGGTCTGTGGCTGCCTTATTTTAAGCCTGGACATGTTGAGTAAGAACTGAACAAGAAAGAGCTGAAATCGCAACAGTACATCCAACGGATAGGTTAATAATTACTCTCCATATTGCACGGGTAGGTGGGTAGCTAGTGCACTTCAAATAAACTGAGCGCGATCAGCCAGTGTGCGAATCAAACAAAGGGAGACTGAACAAAAAGAAAAGAAAAAACCAGTCAAAGACAGATTTATGACCAATGCCCGAATCGAACGAGTGACTTCTCCTTACGTCTATGGCAAAGTTTCAAGAGATGGAGATGCGGACCAGCCGCCACTGGGTCTGTATTCACTTTGTTTCGAGTCTGGATGGACGCGTGAGCTGCAGGACGCGAATGAGGGAACCACCTACATGCATCCGGTGCTGGGAATAATTCCTCTGCGTATTTCGCGGGTAGAGATATATCGAGTATGCTGGAAGTGAAATAACGGAAAGTCAGAGCGAGGAAAGAAGAAGAAGAAGAAATCGTCCAGCACCTATGACCCAGGCCCGAATCGAACAGGCAACTTCCCCTTACCATTCTTCATTGGCATAGAGAGATGGAGACGCAGACCATCCGCCACTGGGTCTGTACTCGGCTTATTTTGACCTTGAATAACTTGGATGAGAAATAACCAGGAAAGCGATGGAATATGCAATAGTGCATTTGGATGGAAGGATGAATGTTTGCTTCAATATCAGGATATGAATTGCAAGTGGAGGCTGGTTGGCAGGAAAGCAAGACAGAAAGAAAAAAGAAAAAAAAAAGCTGATCGTAGTCACATGACGACCCAGGCCCGAATCGAACGGGCGACTTCTCCTTAACCATATATCAGGCAGACCTAAAGAATGGAGACGCGGACCACCCGCCACTGGGTCTGTATTTGCCTCATTTTGAACCTGAATAACCCGAGGGAGAATATCCAAGAAAGCGGTGAACTCTGAAATATGTAGTACATTCGAATAGAAGGGTGCATGAACCACGATTCACTCGATATTTCGCGGCTGAAGCGTGGTGGGCGGCAACTAAGACGACGTTGGTCAGCGTGTAAGTCCAATCGAAGGCAAGACAAAACTACCAAAAAAAGAGTCTACGAATGAGCCATGACCCAGGCCTGGATCGAACAGGCGACTTCTCCTTACATCTTGACGTTAGCATTTCTGTTAAGGAATGGAGATGCGGACCACCCGCAACCGGGTCTGTATCCACCTTGTTTCGAGCCTCGATAAATTGAGTAAGAATTGAACCAGAGACGCAGTTAAATATGCAATGGTACATCCAACGGAAAGTTAATAATCCCTCTCCGTAGCTAGTGCACTTCAAATCAACTGGGCGTGATCAGCCAGTGTGAAAATCAAACAAAGGGAGACCGAACCAAAAGCAAAGAACGTGACAAAGTCACGACCCAGGCCCGAATCGAACGGGCGACTTCTCCTTACCATTCTTCATTGGCATAAAGAGATGGAGACGCAGACCATCCGCCACTGGGTCTGCATTTGCCTTATTTCGAGCCTAGATACGTTGAGTGAGAAATGAACAAGAGAGATGCGAAGGCTGCATAGGCATAGTGCATCGAAGAGAACCTGACACGATTCACTCAATATTTCGTATTTCGCGGGTGAGGTGTGGTAGTCTGCAACTAAGACGAGGGAGATCAATGTGTAAATCCAATCGAAAGCAAAACAGAACTACCAAAAACAGGGACCGCGAATGAGTCACGACCCAGGCCCGAATCGAACAGGCGACTTCTCCTTAAACTTCACCATTGCCGCTAGCTTAAGGAAGTGGAGACGCGGACCATCCGCCACTGGGTCTGTATCCACCTTGTTTCGAGCCTCGATAAATTGAGTAAGAATTGAACGAGAGACGCAGTTAAATATGCAATGCTGCACCCAACGGAAAGTTGATAATCCCTCTCCGTAGCTAGTGCACTTCAAATCAACTGGGCGCGATCAGCCAGTGTGAAAATCAAACAAAGGGAGACTGAACCAAAAGAAAAAGAACGTCGTGAGAAGATCATGACCCAGGCCCGGATCGAACGGGCGACTTCTCCTTAAACTTCATCATTTCCGCAAGCTCAAGGAAGTGGAGACGCGGACCACCCGCCACTGGGTCTGTACCTGCCTCATTTCGAGCCTAGATACGTTGAGTGAGAAATAGCGTTCCAGTTCTGAACATATCGATATCCAGGCCGATATCGGTTGAATCCGTAATACGGCCCTACGGGAAATATGATCGACAGAGGAAGAGAACATCGGGAGTAAAGCCAGTATGCGGCGTACGGCGAGAGGGGCCGGCATCTGAGTTGAAGTGGACAGACAGGGAGTGAAGATGTAGACCATCAGATAGATCCAATCCAATGCAATCCAATTATACGGTTTAGATACGGCACAGATGTACCCGAACGCGCGCGTCGTCGAGTCAAACGCTCTAGGTTTTAATTTTTAGTTTTTAGGCCACCGCCGTTAGTTTTCAATCCATATCCACATCCACATCCACATCCACATCCACATCCACACCCCACACTCCCACACTTCAATCGACATCAACGACCCCACACTCCTGTATCACGATCTTTGCGCCTGGGGCACCAGATCGGGACCCGCGCGCCTCGATGGCGCGCACGACGTCCATGCCCGAGACGACCTCGCCGAAGACGACGTGCAGGTTGTCGAGCTGGGGGTGGGGGCGAACGGACACGGCGCGGGGGAGGGAGCGGAGCGAAAGGGAGGATTCGAGAAACGCAAGAGAGAAGGAAGAGGGACGGAGGAGAAATGACAAGATCGAGGTCAGAGACGGGAAGAGTAAAGACGAATAGAAGGGTACGCACATGCGGCGTCGGCACGGTGGTGATGAAGAACTGCGAGCCGTTGGTGTTGCGCCCGGCGTTCGCCATGCTGAGCAGCCCCGGGCGCGTGTGTCGGTGGATGAAGTTTTTGTCTGTGCCCGGTGGGTGTGAGTCGAAGGCGTGGAACGGGTCACCGAGGAGAGGCACACGCACCAGCAAACTTCTCTCCAAAGATACTCTTCCCCCCCGTCCCATCCCCGCGCGTAAAGTCCCCGCCTTGCAGCATGAACGCCGGGATAATCCGGTGGAACGCACACCCTCGATACCCAAACCCATGCTCCATCGTCGCCAGCTCGCGGAAATTCTGCGCCGTGCACGGCACCTCCGTGTCGTACAGCTTGAATACGATGCGCCCGCTTGGCGTCGCGTTGATGTGGATGTCGAACTAGCACACAGAGACCGTTAGCTTCTCCAAGTCAACTTCAAAGGGGGCGTATGAGGACGTTGGGTTTCCTGTGTGGAACAAGCGGTTAGCGCACAAAAGACGAAGAAGAAGGGATGGGAAAGAGGGGGAAAAGGGAACGCACGCTATGGTGCTGGTGCCGCTGGGCGAGCCGGGAGGAGGTGAAGTTGTAGATGGCGCGCGCGCGCGACGGGCATGACGTCGGCAGGGAGATTCCCATTATCGCCTGCCTTTGCCTTGACCTCCGGCTGCCCTAGATAGGCGAGGAGGTCGTGGGTTGCTTCGGTGGACCAATCCGCATTTTGGCGGGCCGAAACAGCCTCGGAGTTGGCGGGAGTAGTGCCGGATTCAGAAAGCGAGGCGTCAGGAGCCCTGCGACGCCTTCCTGAGCCCATAGTCGCGTCGAAACCTCTCAATCGCAGTACAAATTGGCGTGGGAGAGGAAAATTTCACGTCCGGTCACACCTTAGTCACAAGAATCAAACGTCACGACAATCAAAATTTATTCACAATCACAATCTCGGGAACATTTTTGGGAGCCCCCAAACCACACTATTTCCGGAGGAGGATGAGGAGGAGGAGGATAAATTATACTGGCACAGTCCCACAATTGGAACTACCAGTTTACTAAGAACAAACATGTGACTAAAATATGGGTGGCTATCCATATCCAGCTCCAAGATGCCCTTAGAGCACAAAATACCACCAGGGGTGAATGCATGACGACTCACTCAATATCTCGCGGGTGGAAGGTAAACAGTATGCACCAAATGAGCCGGGGCTGGTCAGTGTGAGTTCAACCCAAAAAAAAAAAATTGGATTACGCCGAGAAATGACCCGGGCCCGAATCGAACGGGTGCCTTCTCCTTACTTCTCTGAGAGATGGAGACGTGGTCCATCCGCCACTGGGTCTATATTCAGCTTAGCTCGACCCTGGATACGCAGAGCGAAAGTGCACTTCAAATAAACTGAGCGTGATCAGCCAATGTGCGAATCAAACAAAGGGAGACTGAACAAAAAGAAAAGAAAAGAACACAGGTCAACCCCTGAATGACCCAGGCCCGATTCGAACGGGCACTTCTGCTTACATCTTGACGGCAGGATATTTATTAAGGAATGGAGATGCGGACCATCCGCCACCGGGTCTGTATCCACCTTGTTTCGAGCCTGAATAAGCCGGGTGAGAAATGAGCCAGACAAGCTGCTAATTTAATTAAAGTGACAGCACCTCGATGGGATCCGGACGGTTGAGTATTTTGTTCGACGTTGCAAGGGTGGATTAATCGCGATATTTGCCGTTTGATTCCGTGAAGGAAGCTCGGATGGAGAGGCAAAATAAAAACGTGACGATATAAAGCCGAATGACCCAGGCCCGAATCGAACGAGCTACTTCTCCTTACATCTTGATGTCAGGATATTTATTAAGGAATGGAGATGCGGACCATCCGCCACTGTGTCTGTACCTGCCTCATTTCGAGCCTGCATAAGCCGGGTGAGAAATGTAGAATTCGCAATGGTAATCCGAACGGAATCGCGCATGAATTGCGATTCACTCTATATTTCATCGGTGGGATATTTATGTGGACTGCAAGTAAGACGCGGTTGGTCAGTGTGTAGAACCATAAAAACTGCGAAAAAAAGGTCGACTTCTCACAGATGACCCAGGCCCGAATCGAACGGGCGACTTCTCCGTAACCATTCATCAGGCTAGCTCAAAGAATGGAGACGCGGACCATCCGCCACTGGGTCTGTATCCACCTTATTTCGAACCTGGATACGTTGAGTGGGAATTGAACGAGAGGTGAAATCTGCAATAGTACATTCGAATGGAATGGCGCATGAACCACGAGTCACTCGACATTTCGTATTTCGCGGGTGAGGTGTGGTGGGCTGCAAGTAAAACGAGGGTGGTTAGTGTGCAAGTCCAATCGAATGCAAGATAAAACTACCAAAAAAAAAAGACTACGTCTGAGCCATGACCCAGGCCCGAATCGAACGGGCGACTTCTCCTGACTTGCGGATCGCACGGTACAACGAAATGGAGACACGGACCATCTGACACCGGGTCCGTATCCACCTTGTTTCGAGCCTCGATAAATTGAGTAAGAAGTGAACGAGAGACGCAGTTAAATATGCAATGCTACATTCAACGGAAAGTTAATAATCCCTCTCCGTAGCTAGTGCACTTCAAATCAACTGGGAGTCATCAGCCAGTGTGAAAATCAAACAAAGGGAGACCGAACCAAAAGAAAAGAACGTCGTAAAAAAGTTATGACCCAGGCCCGAATCGAACGAGCTACTTCCTTAAGTGCCTCAAACTGCTCAATGAGATGGAAATGCGGACCATCCGCCACTGGGTCTGTATCCGCCTTATTTCGAGCGTGGATATGTCGAGTAAGAAATGAACAAGAGAGGTGAAATCTCCATACTTAGTACATTCGAAGCGTGACTCGATATCTCGTGGGTGAGATATGTATGTGGACCGCAAGTAAGACAATGGTGGCCAGTGTGTAAGTGCAATCCATGGCAAGACAGGGCCATAAAGATGTGAAAAAAACAATAGATTTCTGGAGGATGACCCAGGCCCGACTCGGACGAGCGGCTTCTCCTTACGAGCTGGTTGCCTTAATGATTAAGAGAAACAGATGCGGACCATCCGCCACCGGGTCTGTACCTGCCTTATTTCGAGCCTAGATACGTTGAGTGAGAAATGAACAAGAGAGATGCCAAGGCTGCAATAGTACATTTGAATGGAAGTATGAACGTTTACTTCGATCTCAGAGAATGAGCCACAGCAAGTGGAGGCATGGCTGGCATGAAAGCAAGACAGAAAGAAAAAAGAAAAAAGAAAAAAAAGGTGACTGCAGTCATGTAATGACCCAGGCCCGAATCGAACGAGCTACTCTCCTTCATCCTAGTTGAGAATGCAAGAACTGGAGATGCGGACCATCCGCCACTGGGTCTGTATCCGCCTTGTTTCGAGCCTGAATAAGCCGGGTGAGAAATGAGACAAGCTGCTACTTTAATTAAAGTGACAGCACCTTGATGGGATCTGGACGGTTGAATATTTTGTTCGATGTTGCAAGGCTGGATTAATCGCGATATTCACCGTTTGATTCCGTGAAGGAAGCTCGGATGGAGAGGCAAAATAAAAACGTGATGATGTAAAACCGAATGACCCAAGCCCGAATCGAACGGGCACTTCTCCTTACATCTTGACGGCAGGATATTTATTAAGGAATGGAGATGCGGACCATCCGCCACTGGGTCGGTACCTGCCTCATTTCGAACCTGAATAAGCCGGGTGAGAAATATAGGATTCGTAATGGTAATCCCAACGGAAGGGTGCATGAATCACGACTCGGTATTTCGCGGGTGAGGTGTGGTGTGGCAAGTAAGACGAGGTGATCAGCGTGTAAGTCAAATCGAAGGCAAGACAAAACTACCAAAAAAAAAGGACTGGTATGAGCCATGACCCAGGCCCGAATCGAACGGGCGACTTCTCCTGACTTGCGGATCGCACGGTACAACGAAATGGAGACACGGACCATCCGCCACTGGGTCTTCTCCCCCTTTTCTCGAACCTGAATAAGCCGAGTGAGAAATGAACGAGAGACGCAGTTAAATATGCAATGGTACACTCAACGGAAAGTTAATAATCCCTCTCCCCAGCTAGTGCACTTCAAATCAACTGAGCATGATCAGCCATTGAAAATCAAACAAGGGGAGTCCAAACCAAAAGAAAAGAACGGTGACAAAGTCATGACCCAGGCCCGAATCGAACGAGCTACTTCCTTAAGTCCCTCAAACTGATCAATGAGATGGAAATGCGGACTATCCGCTACTGGGTCTGTATCCGCCTTATTTTGAGCCTGGATATGTCGAGTAAGAAATGAACAAGAGAGGTGAAATCTGCCATACTTGGTACATTCGAAGCGTGACTCGATATCTCGTGGGTGAGATATTTATGTGGACCGCAAGTAAGACGACGGTGGCAAGTGTGTAAGTGCAATCCATGGCAAGACAGGGCCATAAAAATGTGAAAAAAACAATAGATTTCTGGAGGATGACCCAGGCCCGGATCGAACAGGCGACTTCTCCTTACAGAAGATTTCGTCAAACTAAAGAGATGGAGATGCGGACCACCCGCCACTGGGTCTGTATCCACCTTCGTTGAACCTCGAATAAATATGTACATATATATCAGTTGCGGGCGAAGCGAACGAACGTCGAGAGTAAAGTCATCGTGCCGGTCTCGGAAGATCGGAAAAGTAGGGTAGCGGTAGCGCCAACGCACGGAACCATAAAGAGGTGCACACGTTGGAGGAGAGACAACAAAAAGTCTGGACCGTCAGATAGATCCAATACAATGCAATCCAATTATACGGTTCAGATACGGCACAGATCCCGCCTCGAGTGGAGTCGACGCTCTATGCTCTAGATTTTGGTTTTAGTTTTAGTCCACCACCGTTCGTTTTCAATCCACATCCACACCCCCACACCCTACACTCCCACACTTCAATCCACATCGACGACCCCACACTCCTGTATCACGATCTTCGCGCCCGGGGCACCAGATCGGGAACCGCGCGCCTCGATGGCGCGCACGACGTCCATGCCCGAGACGACCTCGCCGAAGACGACGTGCAGGTTGTCGAGCTGGGGGCGGGAGGGAACAGACACGGCGCGGGGAAGGGAGCGGAGCGAAAGGGAGGATTCGAGAAACGCAAGAGGGGAGGAAGAGGGACGGAGGAGAAATGGCAAGATCGAGGTCAGAGACGGGAGGAGTAAAGATGAGTAGAAGGGTACGCACATGCGGCGTCGGCACGGTGGTGATGAAGAACTGCGAGCCATTCGTATTGCGCCCCGCGTTCGCCATGCTGAGCAGCCCCGGGCGCGTGTGTCGGTGGATGAAGTTTTCGTCTGTCGGTGGGTGTGAGTCGAAGGCGTGGAACGGATCACCGAGAAGAGGAGTGGAAGGAGACGCACCAGCAAACTTCTCCCCAAAGATACTCTTCCCCCCCGTCCCATCCCCGCGCGTAAAGTCCCCGCCCTGGAGCATGAACGCCGGGATAGTCCGGTAGAACGCACACCCCCGATACCCAAACCCATGCTCCATCGTCGCCAGCTCGCGGAAGTTCTGCGCCGTGCGCGGCACCTCCGTGTCGTACAGCTTGAACACGATGCGCCCGCTTGGCGTAGCGTTGATGCGGATGTCGAACTACAGCGACTTCAATTCCATGCAAGAGTCTAACTTAGAAGAGGCGTACGAAGACGTTGGGTTTCCTGTGTGGAATAGGCGGTCAGCGCAGAGAAGACAAAGAAGAAGGGATGGGAAGGGGGGAAGGGGGAACGCACGCTATGGTGCTGGTACCCGGTGCTGGGCGCAGCGAGCCGGGAGGAGGAGGTGAAGTTGCAGATGGCGCGCGCGCGCGACGGGCATGACGTCGGCAGGGAGATTCCCATTATTGCCTGCCTTTGCCTTGACCTCCGGCTGCCCTAGATAGGCGAGGAGGTCGTGGGTTGCTTCGGTGGACCAATCCGCATTTTGGCGGGCCGAAACAGCCTCGGAGTTGACGGGAGTAGTGCCGGATTCAGAAAGTGAGTTGTCAGGAGCCCTGCGACGCCTTTCGGAGCCCATAGTCGCGTCGAAACCTCTCTCACTCACAGTACAAATTGGCGTGGGAGAGGAAAATTTCACGTCCGGTCACACCTTAGTCACAACAATCAAATGTCACGACAATCAAAATTTATTCACAATCACAATCTCGGGAACATTTTTGGGAGCCCCAAACCACACTATTTCCGGAGTGGATGGTGATCATGATCGTTGATGTCAAAGAGCTAGCGTAGGAATCCGTGGCCGAATTGGGTTGATGACGGCGAAAGTCAAACTCGACGATTGGATCAAGAATGCGGCAAGTGGAGGATGAGACTGGATGAGAGATGCGACAGGACGGAATGCGACATTCATGCCAGAGATGCCGAGTGTCATGCAAGTTCTGAAAGAGAGCAAGAGAAATGTGGGTGAAGGGGATATGCAAGATTGCTGTTGGTCGAATCCGTCTCTTACAATCTCGAGTGTGAATTCAATTTCATTGCCATCGGCGGACGTTGGATGAAGCGCGACCCCTGGAAAATAGATGAATTCCAGAGATGTATTATGCAAAGAGCCGCACAGATGAAGGCTGCCGTGGTGGAAATCACTAAGAAAACGACACTGTGGCCGCGCGCAGATTCCTTGGCTCTCACAAAATCACTACACACTCTCAACGACTGCCTGCAGCTCCCTTTCCAACTTTATTCACTGTCAAGCACTTGGTCCGTCAAGCGTTCTCACCACGGGTACCAGAGCGAGGAAAGAAAAAGAAGAAAAAAATCGCCCAGCACCTATGACCCAGGCCCGAATCGAACAGGCAACTTCCCCTTACCATTCTTCATTGGCATAAAGAGATGGAGACGCAGACCATCCGCCACTGGGTCTGTATCCACCTTATCTTGAGGTTGGATAAAATGAGAGAAATGAACCACAGAGGCTTTACCTCTCTCTATATATTTTATACATTCGCGGGGATGACTCACGACTCACTCGATATCTCGTGAGCGCAGTCTTTGGAGTGCACTGTAAATAAAACGCGCCTGTTCAGTGTGTGAATCCAATCGAAAGCAAGACAGAACTACAGCAAATTGCGAAAAAAAAAAGCGTCAGAAGAGGAAGGAACAATGACCCAGGCCCAGATCGAACGGGC